AGAAGAAGAAGAAGAAGAAGAAGAAGAAAAAGAAGAAGAAGAAGTAATTAGCCCCAAACAAACAAATTATATTTAAGCTATAAAGGGGCAATATCTTTATGAATATATTGTTATCTAATGATATACTATAGAGAACAAAGGTAGCATTGAACTAGAATTGATAAATATACACTAAATGCAACTTAAAAACTGGGAGTAAAATGTGTAATTTATGCACCACTAGTAGAATTGCAAAATATTTATATTTCTTATTATTTATCATTGCCATATTTATTTATTATTGCCATTGGTCAGACAAGCTGATAGTTTTGCCCCTAACTCATATCATTTGTTGAACAATTGCTGCTGTATCAGGGTCTCTGCATATTGAGCTAGAAGTATCTTAGCATTAATAATAATAATAATAATAATAACAACAATAATAATACAAAACAACAACAACAATAATAATAATAATAATAATAATAATAATAATAAACTTCTACTATTAATAATAACATCATGCCTAAAAGTTTTACTATAAAATATTAAAGTATATATTTAGTTTATATATTTAAATAAAATATTCAAATGCTGCATTGCTGTTTTTAATGTCACATTAAAGAGCACACAGGTTTATAGCCTAGTGAGCTAAAAAGAAGAATAATATAATATTGTTTGTAGGAGTAGCTTGTATATTATTGTGATAACTTGCATTATTGTATAAATTAAGGGTAGTCAAGGACTAGAAAGAATACCCAAGAACTGCCATTAACAAGATAATTTTGTTTGACTAGGTAATCTTTGTCTGGGAATCTGCAACCTTTTCTTACTGGTCTTTAGGGCCTTATTTGCCAAACCTTTATGTTTTGTTTTTTGTTTTTTAAGAAATAATTACTGGTAGTTGCAAAGGGAAATTCAGACTTGTTCAATGTTCCAGCTAGGGTCGTGTAGGCCGCAGCAACCATTGTAACATCAACATTAAGTATTTTTGACAACAAAAGAGAGGAGACAGAAACAGCTTCAAATTCCGGACGATGAATCAGCATTGAACCGATATATCACAGACACCCCAAGAGCACTGAAAATAATAACTGTCCGTCATTTGTCCTCCTCCACTGACCCTCTAGCAAAACTTGGTGGAAATGAAAGATTTTATAATAGTTTTTCATTAGGGTTCGCCAGTCGTCTCCGCCACCAGCTGAGCCAGAAATGAATTCGGCTCACCCTGTCAGCTCAGAGTAACCCCGGCTTTTGTTCAGGATAAAGACATTATAGGCTCTTTGTATGGCTTTTCTCAGGGACTTATTGAGGGGGGGAAATTAACTCCCTCAGATAGTAGCTCAAATAGGTTTGGTCTGGTTATTTGTTGGGTTTCAAGAAAACCCATGATATGAACTGCGGTGAAGTCCTTGTGTTGTGGATAGATCTTGAGAGCCCAGACTGCTCCGGATAGGCAGATTCGTGTCGTTCTCGCTCCTGTCTGACAGTTTCACTGATGGTGAAAGCCAGAACTAGTGTTCCTTCCTAACACAGCGTGCCATGATATATCTATTCCTATCGTAAATCAAGTCCAAACCTTGGGAAATCTGTAATTTATGAGGAAAGAGGTGGTCCTAAATCGAAATAAATCATTAGGCGCTGGAACATACCATCCGTGAAAATGATTAGGGTTCAGTCATTATCGTTTTTTCTGAGATATGATGTTAACGGTGCACTCAGTTGTTGCGCTGGTTGATATGCCAGTCGTCTTGGACTTGTTTCAAGCATCTTGGAAATGTTGCCACAGTTCTTCTATTGCTTCTGTCTCTGAATTGATGATGGTGAGATCAAATCTCTGTGTGGGCCGGACCTGCTGTTCCAGGACTCCTTGTTCAAACAAAAATCTCACTGAATTATTGCAGTCTTTACAAAAGTTTGTCAATCCCAAATTGATATATCCTTCTAGCACACTAAAGCACAATACATAAATAATCGTCTTATGTGTGTGTGTGTGTGTGTGTGTGTGTGTTTTTGTTCTCAGATTTTTCCTGATAAAAAGATCCCCGTGTTTCCTCTTTTTCATTTTGGACAAAAACATTTCACATCAAATTCTTCTTTGATGTCTAAAAATTGTCTCAGTTTCTATTTCATTAGAAACATCAGAGACAAAGTTGATATTATAATGAAAAAATAACAGAAAACTCAATACGATTTCCCTCTAGTTCATCCTGATATATAATGAAATTCAGTGCTGTTTACATGGGTTTTATGTGGCTCAATGTCACTAGGAGATCTTTGTAATAGACTTTGATGAGTGATTAGCACGGCTCCCATTACTGCGAAAACATGCGTGAAAACACGGGGGAGGGTTTGACGAACTCTTCGCAGCTTTGACTCCTGGGGAGACGTACATATATTTGAACTGGTAGGGTGCCTGTTCTCTCAGGAAGTGGCTGACCCGAGCGTGAAGCAGTGACCTGTGTTTATGCAGTCATGATCTGAAGTGTGGAAGGTCAGCACACAGTCTTCGAGCTGTCTCAGCGGTCCTGTGGTTGTGGCTGGGAAACAAACGTATTGCAAAAATACTTTCCCCCTCCTTTGATCGCAATATGAAAGAGATCATGATGCTTAATCACCGAAGGATGCTTCATCCCTCTTCCATATTAGAATGATTTATTTGATGTCCTCCAAAAATATCTCAACAAGGGAACTGTAGACTCACATCAGAGTTAAAGCCTGTTGTCATCTAGACTGGAGTAAATGTTGCATAATACCACAGATTGGAAAACGCACCAGTTCTTCACACAGTCATTCCGGGAACAACATCTAGTAGTAAGGTCCAAAATGAACACTCGCCGAATGTCAAATGCATGTAAAAAAAGTTACTCGCCAACTGGCTGGTAGCAATATAAGA